ACTCTTGATTATCGAGCCCCCCCTTTGAAGATGCTTTTCAATTCAAATGGGAGGGTGTATTAATCAAGAGTCTACATTAGGGATGGTTTCAAAAAAATATTTCCGCCCACCCCCTGAAATTCGGCCATTTTAAGGTCCAGTCACCTCAGAATCACCTCCAGGCACCCATCCCTTGACCAGGCCACTACAGGATGCAGGCTGAGGAATCCCGTCACCCCTTGAACCTGTCGCCCCTCATTGAAATGAATTGCTTTATAAAATCGTTTGGTAGGGATCTTAAGGGAACACCTGTTAACCTTAAGCATTCTTGTCACCCTTCTTTTCATCCAAAACGAGGCCGGAAGCTCCCATGGCCAGCTTTCTCTTCGCTCTTCGTCGCTCTTCCACTGCCTCTGGTTCCGCCGGTCTCCCGGGTCGCGGTCCATGGACATCACCGGGAGCGCCAAACACCTGAGAAACGACCCGACCTGATCGCTAACTACACGTGGATACACACCCTATACCCAAACACTCCATGGGACTGGCATAGGACTGCCGATCAGTTGGGGTGGTGCCAAGGGGGTCAATGTAGGCATATATTGGCAGTCCCATGGAGTGTCTGGGTATAGGGATCCAAGTAGTACCTTCCAACAAAGAAGGTACGAAGACAGACTCTCCAAACGCACATCACAGTGTTTTTCACACATCACCTTCTCAAGACGGGTATGTAGATCCCTAGAGACACATTTAGTGTCACAGGCATGGCCCTGTGAAAAAAACTGTACTGAGCTATGGGGCAAAGCCGGGCAGTCAGTCTTTAGAAATCCTTCGATGATGGATTGAATACCTGCAACTCCTATGCCATCAGCTTCTGAAGAACTTGGGACACATCCTGATTCCAGGATCTTTGGTGATCTGTTTCGATATATATAGTTTCGCACCAATTAAGATTCCGAGAAGAAAGGAGGGCACAAAAAATGCCATATAATAGCTTTGGGTAGATCCCATGCCCAGTATCAGCGGGGGTGGGGTGCAGGACATCTCAGTGATCACTATTAGTGATCCTCTTAGTACCAACAGTACCGATCTCAACTGGAAAATACATGTCCCACAAACAAACAACAAATTAATACCAACTACCAACTGTAATTACTGGCTTACAGGAAGACCATACTTGCAAACCTCCAGGTGGGCGAAACCGACCGCCCACGCATGCTCCCTGTCGGGATGACTTCATGGGACCCTGTCGGGCTGTCCAATGAACTACCCCACACTACCTATAGGGGGTCCTATAGGGGCATCCCTTGGAGGGTCCTGGTAGGATCATATTACTTGGAGAACATGAGTTGTATATCTCAAAACAAACGATACCATGTTGAAGACAACATGGATCAACATGTCGCACGCAAGACCTGATGTCTTCGTCGGAAATCCACCATCCCAGCTGGTGGATTTCCATGTCCTCGTCCAACATCTGACAGATGCTCTGGCCCTTTGAGGCGCCAACGGGCTATGGCCTGATTGGGCGAGGACAAAGATCGAGTTCGGGTTTGGGCCTGGCAAAAGGGGTGCCTGGTGAGGATGGGGATAGGATATACACTGAGGTCACCTGATTGCTTTGAGTATCTTCGAGTAATTTTTACAAGGGGTGCCCTGAGGGTTGGTCATTCATGAGTCATTGTGCCGGAAGCCAAGCACGCCTCTTTCCAATCACCAGTTACGGTAGCAGAGTGAATGGTCGACTAATACACCGCTTTGGTTGACCATCATGTGTATCCCAAATTCATGCTCAACCATGGAAATGTTCTTTGTTCCTGTACACTCTGTCTATGTCTGTCAACAAATCCCCAAACACCCCAGCTGCTTTTCCTTGAGTGTTCTATTGTCCACCGGTCGTTTCTCCGGATCCCCACAAGTGAGTCGACTCACCATGACTCACCCGGTCGCATCTTGGTCGCCCATGTCACCTTTTCGAGACCGAACGTGTCGCGCGGCGTTCCGACCCCGTGGAAGGCTCGGGTCTGACCAGTCGATAAACGGGGCCAGGGGCACATGCCCCGACTTCAAACACACCCCCCTATTCAGCCGACACAATGGCGAAGCGACCTACACTGAACCCGCCCAGCTCCCTCGCGCATCGATCACAAAACAAACAAACGTCCTCCGAGCGACGCATGTACTCGCTCTGCTGGTCGGCTTTGGTGTTCCAATGCCGCAAGACTTCCAACCTAACCCAAACACATTTGATGGAATAGCTTTCTGTTGAACTAAATGAAGCTTGACATTGGACATCAATAGCCAAGAATAGCTAAGAATAGCTACATCCTTGGCATTGGTTGCTAGCTCGCTTCTCTTTCTCGGCATCCAGTCCTCCAGTCCCGGGAGAGTGCTCATGCACCGGTGTGCTCATGCGACGGAAGATGGATGGAAGAGTGGACCCGGATGCTACCGTAGCATGGATGGGTCATAAAGGGCTCCTATAGAGGATAAAGGTATCAATTAAAATGTTATATATATATATATTAACTATATAATGCATGTTAACTATTCCAGTCTCATGGAGCGTCTGGATGTTGGGATTCTTGGTAAGTTGGAAGTGCTCAAGGATTTCTGAGCTTGACACCAAATGCCTTACGTAAATCCAGAGAAGAAAAGGACAACGGAACCAACGAAGAGTTCACCAATCACTCCCTGGAGGCCTGGAAGGACTAAGTCCATCAAGCTGTTTGGGCTGTATTTTGACATAGTTCAAATAAAAGAAGAACATAGAATTAATACAACTTCATAAGACTTAATGTAAATGAGTCGATCATAATGAGAGTGTCAGTTGTCTCAAATAGCGAATGCAAGGATGTCTTTTTATAAGACAGCTTCTTCAAAGGAAAGCGTCTTGAACCTCGCTTCTCAATCCAAAAAGGGCATGTTCTGCTTTGGTCCATCCCATTTGAGGGCTCACTCCACAGCCTCGTTGGAATCTCATCCGTTTTCGGGCAAATCACCCAAGGGATCATCCTTTGGGCTTCTCACCCGGGTGGACTTGAGGGTATGAGAAACAAACAGATCGCCCTCCCAAACAGCTCGGAACTGGAATCGACCGATTTTCGACCAAGCAATTCATCACCCCCGGACCCCGAACGGACCGTTTGTACGACCCGATGTTTTTTCCAAAACAGGTATACCCTATACGACTGTACACGCTCTTGTATACCAAATGAATCCCGAGCTACTTCCAGTACACCCTGGAAAATTAACATGGAACCTGAAAACACTGGGTTGTAGAGGAAAATAATCTTCCAAAGGTCCACCTTCAGGTTCCATGTGGGTCTCTTCCCGGGTGTATCTCCGGACGCGCATCTCTGCTACCATCCCATGGTCGGGGTCAGCGCGGAGGTCTGGGGAGGTCGACGGGGCGATTGGCACTGAGAGAGCCACCAAAAGAAATCCAACTGAAAGCCGTGTTGTCTTTTTGTGGAACTCGAAGAAAAACGGGGAGCCGTCTTTATGGAGGATCCGCCTGCGGATCCAACGTTTTACATGGGATCTCTGATCTCTGAGTTCACCAAGCAAAAAACATGTACATCGGACAACTTGATCACCCAAATGATGAACATGGTAGCAGTTCCAAAATCATCTGTGTTCATCGCTTTTCCGTGGTTTGGCCATTTTGTGCATTTTGCCGATGATATAATATATAAGCAGGGCTCCGGGGTCTCAAAAGCCTATCTGTTTGAGGGCCCGGATTCATACAGAGTTTAATACAATCATCCACCGACCGCTCGTGATGAAACTGCGCTTTCGGGCTTTCCAGTCCGTGGGCTGTTCAATTCGGGCCCAACTGGGTCGGGGTGGAGAACGACAGCGGGTCGAATCCAGAATCCGGCAAACGCCCCCTCCTTTCGGGTGATTTTGTCTTCTGATGTTCTAAGGGTCAATGGAGGCAAATATTGAACCACCCTGGCATGGATGGTCTGAGAACGAACACAATTTTTCTCGTGAAGGACACGTCAATTTGCTTTCACACTTCTGCATGTAGCTTGAATCACTGATGCTTTTCACGGAAACAAATCGAAAGCTTGATACGGTCAATCCTGTAGCTTGATACAATGGTCCATCGATCGGTCTAGTGGTCCAAAGGTCTTCCATGTTGGACTTTCATCACCTTACTGAGCCCATGGACGGTCCAGGTATGGACCTTCACCGAGTCACAACCGAGACACCCGGCGGCTGATTCGGGCAGCGAACCGTCCTCCGGACGAAAGGAAGTGTTGGATGGTTTTTGAGAAGGATCAAAGCAAGACCTTAGTTTTTGGAGGGTCAACGTGTTACAAGTCATGCAAGTTGGACTTGCATCATTTGGTGCTTCCCTTGGTGTGTTTTCTTTGGATGGACTTTGAAGCACGGGTCGATGTGCAATTGATAGGTTTTAAATGTTTTTTAGTCCATGCTTCACGCGGTTGATCGACAGCATAAACTGATCAGATCATTTGGAAGTCCTGGGTGGTCCTGGTAGGAAGAGTAGGCTATTGTTCCTTTGTAGGTCCCATATGTTCAAGCCCAGCAAATATTGCTCTGCAGGAGCCACCACGGGGACTTTCCTCTGACAGGGGACTGAGCGGCCATCGTGTCACACTGTGGCTGGTCACAGTGTGAACCAGCCAGAGGCATGTGACCCAGAGGGACCAGCGGCCAAAGTATATAGTATATTATATCTATACCCTGCAAGTCAACGACTATACAAAGAATGGTCTTTATGGGATCTGAAAGGGAATTTCCTTTACTTCACTCAGGGAAAGTATAGTCTTTGGACTTCCAGGGTATATATATATTTATTAATTTATAGATGGCACAATCTTCAAAAGGTATGTGGACCATTATGATGGACGACATGTAGGGCTTTGTGTCATCTACCCTGAAGACACTGTAACTATTTTGAAGCAACCGTCACAGGATGTCACAGGTACTGTACATCTGTCGTCATCTGTCTACCTTTGTCTTCTGAATGCAAGGCCACAAAAGCCTCGTCATTGCTCCGGCAGCTCATGATCTCCATTCTCATTGTCTGAACTCCAGAATCTTCTCTCTTGCCTATCAAAGAAATCCGGGTCGAACTTGTGACGTCTCCGACTGCGGGGACCCATCTCACAAAGTAGGGCCGCACGTCGATAGTAGAACATGCGAAAACACGCTTGATTGCCTGAGAGCGTCTTTGAAACTGAGTCCCACTTAGACTCTTGAAGCAAATGCTTCTTAAAATATCTCCGGGACACTGCCCAAGTGACGCCGCGGAAAGGCCAAACGGTGCGAGGAAGGCCAAAATCATTTTCCACATTGGTGTCCGTCAAGAAGGACACCTCATCTCTGCTCAAAACCTCCGCCCCGGCTAAGGCTTGCAGTTCGGAAGGGACCGGCATTGGCTGCCGCTGCCAATCATATGGACAAGAGTCCTCGGTCATGTCCTGGCCGATTCGAGCTCTGGAAAGCTGCCAGTTGTCTCGCTCCTCATACCGACGATACCGTTTCTTCGTTTCACAACTCACTACACACTCCACCAAGCGGCAGGGCACTCCTCGTGCCACCAAGGCCTTGTATAGAGCCCAGTCCCGTCCTCTCAAATGATGAGGCCGTAGCACGCCAGAGCTGTCAAAACTGTAAGTGTTGTGGAAGGGAAAACCAAGTGTGCGTCATCGAAGCTCTCTGGCCAACTGCGTCTGGCATACACTCAGCCAAAGCTGCAGAATCTCGGAGGGTCCACGCAAGAGGGCCTTCAGAGCTACGCATGAGCAGCTGCAATGATATATGCCATGCATGCCACTTGTGATGGTCACCAACTTGAGGATGTGCTGTGGCAACGACAGCATTGATCTCTGAGGCTTCTTCGTAGCACCCATCACCTTATACTCTTCCTGTGGGTCTGGATGCCCAAAAATGTTGAAGGTCACCATCACACGATGCCCCGCAGTAACCTTCTCAACCGAGTGAAAATCCGAGGTGAAGAAAGAACACCAAGATCCTGCACACTCCGACCTCCACGTTCGCTCCGTTTTCTCCTCCACCTCCGTGGTCTCCTCCGTGGCCTCTTGGGACCGATCCGCGGCCTCCACACAGCCACGCTCCGGAAAGCTCAGCTGCCCGCCATCACAAGGTCCTGCTCCGCAGTCGACCATCAGCGTCATGATGTGGTCATCCGAAATCTTGCTATCTACGTGGGCCTGGAAGAAATCTCCTAGCTCATACAGCAAGACCTTGTAGACTTTGGCAGTGAGACTCACGTCAGGGCAAAGTGTTGCACGGGCCTGTGACAGAACAAACCCCAAGTCATCCCAAAGAATATCGACATCTTGAGTCTCCTTGCTACGCCGGACCTCTAGATCAAGGACCGTCTCTGTACCTCGACCGCATGGTGCCTGCTTGCACAAAGCTCGCAAGTCAGCCAAGTCCTCGGGCAATGCTAAAGGAACACCTCCCTTCGTGTAAAGGCACGGGGCGTTTTTCGCAATCCCACTGGCAAACAAAGGGTTGGGCAAGGCCTCAAGGATCGAGGTGAATCGATCCATGATCGATGTTCCCACGTCCTCATCATCCGAATCGGTGGCATAGGGCAGAACATCGATGGTTGATGCCGCTGAATCATCATCTGAATGCAGTTGCCCATCCATTTCGCTCGTGCGCGAGCCAAGGATGTTTCCGATCCAGCCAGCAATAGACCAGCAAAAGGATGCAAAAGGAGATTGGAGGAAGTCGGGGTTCCCATGATCCACTCACTTAGGGACTAAACACCACCCGACCATGTGACTCCTATAATATCATCACTGCTTGTGCACTCATGCATGATTTCGTTTCCTAAGGTCGCACTCACATGATGTACATGCATGATGCACTGCACGGCACGCGTCTTCCTTGGCTGTTCTTGAGATGCGATGCCTGCGATGCATGGGAGGTTTTCTTTGAATCGAGTGACACCGGTGACACGGGTGCCACATCCGGTCCAAACCTTCACGTCCCGACCCACCGTTCAGATCAGGTGAAAAACCGATCAGGTGAAAACGCCAGGTTGTAATGAATCTCTCGAAATCCCCCACAACCAAGGAACACCTCATCACTCCTCATCAACCCACACCTCATCACTCCTCATCAACCCCCCCAAAAAAAAACAAAACACATTGGTGCCGGCCCGTCACCTCACCACGCGAATCACGGCGTTTTCTCGCCCATCTCCTCCATGCTTCGCCCGCCCGGCACCACGTGGTCGGGAAGACCTGGAGGATCGGGGGTGCCCAACTGGGTGCCCATCCACTCACTGGATGCGACTCAAAACCACCCCGTCGAAAACGTGACTCCTGGCTGGTTCTTCAGGACTCGTGACCGAAGATGATATCCCCAGTTGCTTCGATCACGAATTCAAAGGGCCCTGCTTCGGTCACGAATGTCGGATGGCACTCTGAATCGGTCACAAACTGAAGAAGCTGGTCCATGTATGGAAATATGACACATTGACCGTGACCCCTTTTCGACCACCCCGACTTTTTTTGACAGTGCCACCCCGATGTGTCTGGGTATATAGAATGGTACTGTACCAGAGTCACAAAGGGGCGTGGTTATTAGTCCCTAAGTGAGTGGATCATGGGCGCTCCTATCCTCCAATAGGATCCTGGCTCAGCATCCTTTTGTGACGGCTCGGAGACTCAAAGGCCCCTGAAATTCGAGCTGTTCCTGCCAAACCCTTCTTCACACAGTGAAGTCGGGCTCAGTCGGATGTTGCGTTTCTTTCTTAAGTGTGTGACGCTCTGATCAGTTGGGCTGAGAGCGTCACGATCTGCAAGGGCATCTGCCTGTTTGGCTGAAGGCTGTTAAAGGGTTCGAGAGTCTTTACTTGGAGGCAAACATACCCTCTCCCAACCAGAAGGGCTCCGGCCAACAAAGACCTTAGAGTTCGGGGGTGGAAAACAAAGACCTTGGAATGAATGCTGTTCCGCTAGCTGTATGGACTCCCAGTTATGGAGTAGTCCAATACCACGCAGAGTCCAATACCACGCATACCCAAACACTCCATGGGACTGGCATCTTTACATACATTGACCCCTAAAACCACCCCGTATACGGCAGTCCTATGCCAGTCCCATTAGTCGTGTTTGGGATAGTGACCAGTGTCAGGCGGGTATGAACACGGGTTTTGGGCGTCATGCGAAGGGCCCGGCCAGAAGGGCTTCGAACCGCTTTGCATCGACGGTGATACTCCGACGCGTCCGGTTGGATGACTGTCAGGACGGGAAAGAAAGGTGGTCATTCACGGCCAAGAATTTTGTGGCAAAGCTGAGAAGGTGTTTTGTAATGGATTCAGTGGGCAACAGCAAGTTCCTTTGCGATGATTTGGATCCTAGAATGTTCAGGCTGGGAACTGTCACTCTCCTGCAATGGACCAAGCAACAAAAGGCATTTTAGAAGACATGGATCCTGTACAGTGGTCTCCAAATAAATAGAATGATAGTCAAATTGGTCCAATGTCCAATACAGTCCTATACATTATAATCAAATAGAACCTGATAGAAAGGGTTGTCCAATTCATACAATCCAATCCATGACTCCGCTGAAAACGAACATGGACCCTGAAAACCACGTTGAAAAAGGAAAACAGTTCAGGGTGCCATTCGACCCGAGGCCATGTTAGTTTGAAGTGTATCAGTTGGAATTGTCGTCCTACCTGCTTGGAGGCTCCGGCGCGGCCTCACCGTCGATTCATCGGACGCTGTCTGAGACCGTTCAAGGCTTTCAGGCGAAGATGTTCGCACTCCAGGACACAGATCATCCCAGAGATGTGTTTTTTTCCAACCGAAACTCTTGGGGCTCGAGGTGCCAGCTTGGCCAACCAATGAGATTTCGGTGGTTCTCCACCTGTCTGGCTGTGGGTCATGGCACCTGCCTGGTGGACACCGAAACCGATTGACCTCCCTGGTTTGTCGTTTCGGTTATCACTCATTGGATGATTCACCGGGCAGGGCCTCCAGGTTTGGACCCACCACGCACCGAACGGTCTCTCCGCGGGGGGCAGGGGGGTGCTCCGTCGCGGAATCCGCTCCGAAGGTTACTAAGTTACTCCGCTCTGAGAAGCGCACCCTCCCCAAGCTTGCAAAGGGTAGGCCTAGGGACTCGGAGGGTGCAAGACAGGTGTGGAGTGAGATAAAAATAGGGAGACGTCCCATTCAACGACCTCCTGGAAGAAGGAAAACAGATCAAGACATATATCGAAACTAATATCCATTGGTTGGGAGGTCCATGTGGAGAGATGCATGGCTGTAAAATAGGGAGAGGGAAGTCGAAACACAACATGTTCCTGTTGGGAAGTCCAGTGTGTTCCTTATTGAAATACACACCCATGTCTTGGTGTGTATGTGGTTTGGGATCTCATGACTTCATGCGATGGACACCCCTCCTACCTCTCCAGGAAGGTCAAACATCTCCCATGTCGCCAGGGGAAGAACCTATTCATTGTTCATCGATATGTTATATTACTACCCCTCTGTGGGACTGGAAGATCTGGAACATATTATGACCAACATACCAAGAAATAATATACCCAAACACTCCATGTATGCCATATATGATCATAACATTGACCCCCAAAACCACCCACATGTAGGCATACATGGAGCGTCTGGGATATGTCTATCACACACACATACCATCCTGAAACCCAAAATCACTCCCCAAGAGAACGAGGCATGGGTCGCACACGCGCGCGACTGGGTTGTGCCAGTCCCATGGGTCAGACACCTGCCCTTCGGGGCAAACAAGATGTCAAACATCGCGCGACTGGTTGGAGTCGACCACCCCGGTCTTTCTCCAGTGCGGATGAGCACAGGGGATTCGAACCGAACCAAGCTCGAGTGCATCCGAACCGCGGTCGAAGTGCGTAGGTCGAAGTGCGTAAGTCGTCCGGTCCGGACAGGTCTCCGCGTGAGACGAAGCGAGGTGTCAACGGTCTGTTGAGAAGCCTCGCCGCCCCACACGATGATTCGATGCAGTCGGGACCAGTTTTGGGGAAGAAATGACTGGAACATACTGGAACGCTCTATATATATATATATATATATACAGGTGCCACCCATCTACAGGGGAATTCAATCACCTGAAAACGATCTAAAACGATCTATCACTCCCTATATATATATAGTCACCTTTCAGATCGTTAATGTCATTGTCTCTGAACATGAACAGCACAAATCCAGCGAATCCATTTCCGTTGAACATGCTTCGACCAACCTGGTTCGACCAACGTCATGATCTGGAAGGCTTAAGCCGCTCACCATGGGCGGCTCACAGGATTTGGCGGATGGATGGCATTCGATGTCCTTGGATTTGGTGCGGCTTCTGTGCCGTCCGGGGGCCAATGTGGCGTAGGCTTCCGTGCATGCCGATGGAAATAAACAAATGAATTATCAATGCACAACGGCATATGGAGAGTGATCTCCTCTAGGAGCTATACGGCTGTACGATTCTTTTGGACTTCTTGGCATCCTACGAAGCTGAGTTACCTGGTTGTTCCAATGATACTATAGACATCTCTCAAGGTCCAGGCTTTGTTGATGACCCCCTTCTCCACGTCCTCCGGAAGACGAGACCGAGACCGCCAGCGACCGAAAAGCGCCATTGCTGAGAGGAACCGACTCAGGAGACTTCTGCAATGGTCGGTCGTAACTTGAGTGCTTTCACTTGTTGGGGGGACTCATACTGCTTGTTGAGATGCCTGGAGGCGCTTCAAAGCTGAAAAAAAAACCTGGAGACCTGGTCATTGACATTCTGCAAAGGTCATACATGGTTTTTGGAATGGCTTTTCTTACTTGTAGACCTGTTCCACCAGGTCGGGCGTGATCCGGGGCGAGACCATCGTCCTTGCGCTTCCGCCGAACCCAGCTGAGCGGATCAAGGTCCGGTCTGGGGTGCCCGGAAGGACACCAGTCGCAAGTCTCACCCGGCAGATCTTGGTTTGATGACCCCTCACAGCGTTCCAGTTGAGTGGATCTGCACCAAGAATGGCAACGTGTGGATGGCCCGCGAACTTCCAAACTCAAAACTCCATGGCCCGGATGGAAGAATCACCTTTCCAGGAAGTGAACGGCCATGGACTGGTTTGCAAAAGAATCACCTTGAAATCCAGAGTCGGGGACGAGGCCGGACCGAAATCCGCAACATTTCACACCCATTCACACCCCAAATACCAAGAACCTTCCTGGACTCGTCCTTTCAATATCAATCAGGAGCAACCTTCCTCTCGCCCCTTGCCCACCAGCCTTGATGAACAAGTAAAGTTCCAACTTTAAAGGGATCTCCAAGTGCAAGCCTCGTGTCGGTCACATGATGCGTTTCACGTGTGTGTCGTTGTTCTATGTTTCACAGGCGTTTGTCCTTGTTGGGGTCTCCCTTTTTGTTTAGATATTAGTATATACATCCCTAGGGCTCCAAGTACCTCCTCAGAAGATATTTGGACCCTCTAAACCCACCCCAAACACCTTCTGCGAAGGTACTTGGAGCCCTAGGGCATATGTATATATACACAGCACATACACACAACACATCCACAGAGTTCAAACTCACGAGTCAACCGTACTATTACCACCGTATCCACCGTTAAGATTTTAGGACCTGGAAACAGCTCGAAACTGGTTGCTTTTCACCAGGAGTCCAACAAAAATACATCTGACCAAAGTCCATATATATCCATATTTTACTTGAGTCATCCTGAGTCCTTGCAAGGCTTAAGGAAACAAATGACTGGTTCCCAAACTAGGTATATTGGACTTTGTGGCCAGGCTGCAAAAAAAAGATACGAATGCTAGTTCACCCCCACCTGGTTCCTACTAGTCCAGGCTGGTTCTACGACCGACGGGTATGACAGCGGCTGGAAGTTCTGTGTTTTTGTATAATATTTATTTTCAGGATCTTGAGGGCATACGTTCCCAGAAACCTCCCTAGCTTCGTCGCACCTGTTTGTGATATGGACCCACATCACATACTGCAAAAAAAAGTACATACAAACTATAGTCTAAACATGTCGGCATTTTGAAATGAGCAAAGCTTACAAAAACTAAATTGCACTTTTGATCATGTTCACTTAGTCGGATGGGTGAACATCCACTGCCCAAACAACAAACATAGAGGTTCTTGGATTTGCTGTTCAGGAACCTGGAAAAATGCTCTCCACAAGGGGATTGACCCGGGAAAATAGAACATCCTCTTAAGCAAAACCAGTTTCTTCAGAAGGACGGCGTTCCTAGATTTCAAGCCTCCTTTCATGACGTAGACTGTTCCTAACAAGGGCGAATCGGAATTCCAGCTGACACCCAGGCAGCCCTATTCAATAGCCTCTTCACAAACATTCACAAACAAGCATCTCTTGTGGGGGCCCTGGTGATAAGTATGCCAGAAGAACCAGCAGTTCTCACTTCTTCACGTTCCTCACATCTTCACAGTGGCACCAGATGTTGATAGATGTTGCTTGACCGACACCTGGTGTCAGTGGTTCGAGGTACTGGACAATATCTGGAAGACATGAAAGTACGAATCCAGGCCCATGAGACTTAGAAAGACTGAGACGCCCAGCTCAGGCAAACCAGCTTCGCCTGGTGCCTCAGCTTCGACCGTCAGGCAAGTGGCGAAACCATGTGACACCTGGAATCGGATAATCTGGTTAAAAAAAGAAAACACGGCGGCACAAAAAAAAAACTTATTATATAATATCATAGGGAGACAAACTGGAAAATAGAAACGTGTTGCAACATTATGTTGAATTGACGATATCTATAATACGTAAATGAAGGTAACTTATGACTTATTATATAATCCAAGAAACAACAAACACAAACAAACAAACAAACAAACAAACAAACAAACAAACACACACACACACAAAACAACACACACACATACACAAAATGAGGTTGTGGCCATCCGCGGTCCTGATGACCCCTCAACCCACCATCACGACGTAATCCCCCAACCCACTCTGAGGAATGGCACTCAATGGTGCAAGGCGGCCAACCAGCGGCCTGCGTGTGGGTCAGCGCGACACAACAGCGACTCCCGCGTGTGATGTCAGTGACAAGGGTCGGAGCGTTTTTCGCAACCCAAATCTTTGGGGACCGAAAATGGTTTCTCACCTCTCTCTCACCTACCTTAGCACCAAACGTTTTCTTCCCCTGGCGCCGTTGCTCACGTCTTGATCTCCCCGAACGCCTCCAAGGCGACTGAGATCCTCGTGTGCAAGGCCAACAAATCGAAACCTGCCGTGCCGCGAGCGCAGCCGCAACGATCAGTCGCGATGCAGTCGGAGTCAGTGGGATCCAAAAACGAAGCATCTCAACAATAAATAAAATTTATATGAATTTATATATAGCGTTCGTGACGCGTTCGTTTTCGGGAAACAAAGCTCCGGTGTGTAAACAATTTCTCCGGTCTGGAGTGTTTTCGTAGAATACAATAATCAGCGATGTTCAAAGGGCAATTGCCTGGAAGAATAGGCCTTGTTTTGCTTCGACCTGCCTGGCTCGGCAAAAACCATAAACTCCGCATCATTGTCCACCACATCTTGCCTCGCTGCGCACCATTTGCGCGTTTTTGGAATTTGGTCACGCCCTACCCCCCCCCCAAAGCAAGGACCATATAGGACCAGGACCAGTAATTAGCCTCCAGCAGGTCTTTAGTTGAGGGTTGTTGGGCCAGGTCTCAGTTGATCACCTGTAGAGTCGGGTCCTGGGATCAAGTAGGAGAAGAGAGCCCAACAAAAACACCTTGCCCATGTCAGAAATACTCTCCCTGGAACTACCATGGTTACGTGGAGAAGCCATGGCCCCTGTAGGAGTCTTTCGTGAAATCCACCTACAAACCAGGTGGTTTCACCCACTCCACGTCACAGTGGTTCCAGTCCCGTCCCCGAGCCGCGCCATTGAAGGCGAGAGACTTCCCGTCGGTTAGGCGTCCAGTGGGAAACGTGCCATAGCCTGGCGGAGTGGCCGTCCATCTTCCGTCCGGACGTCCGTCGTTCTTTGGTGCAAAAGAGAAACACCACATGCACTACATTGCACTACCACATGCTGAAACCGACATGCTGTCCTTTCCGATCTCCGACTCACAAAAACAAACAACTGATCATAACTGATCTGAGTTTGATATGGTTTGATATGGATTGATCACATCATCCCGACATCCTCCTCCTACTTTTTGATACTTGCAGTTCTCACCAGTTTGAGGTCACCGTTTGGGCCGAAAAGGACTGGAACTGAAGCTAGCTGCATGGTCACAAAACCATCCACAAATCACGCTTCGTCTGCTTCGTTCTCACGTTTCTGGCATTTTGCGACCCAGGTGACGGAGCAAGGCGATCAAGGTCCCTTGACATGGCACCTCGGCGCTAGAGATCAGGAGACCCGTCGTCTGTCGTTTCGGACAGACCTGGTGGAAACACCTGAAGCATCCTGAAACCGCCTGACAGTGACTGACCAATCTCCATGTGTTGGCTGCCAAATGCTGCCAAATGCATCAGCATTGGAATGATTAAAAAAAACATGAAAAAACAACAAGACGTTCCTGTGTCCCGCGCATAGTCCACCTGCACCGCATCGAGAGCCTGCGAGGTTGATGTCAGTGCTTTTTGGGGGTGGACGTGAGGCACCAAAACGACGAAGCCAACAACGTGTGCGCGGAGCAAGGCCTCAACCACCTCGGTGAAAGCACCTTGGGGCAGAACAAGTGACCTTCCCATCAAGTGCCCAGGGCACTTTTAATAGAGACACTCAGTTCTGTTTTGACATCTGGGGCAACTAGAACGACAGTTTGCAGGTTTGATCCATCATGTGTCCTTTCCATTTTTTCTTGAACCTAAGCCATGCTGCTTTTTCCTTTTTTACTCTTGTTTCCTCATCTTGGGCGCTTTGGGGTGGCCGTATCTCCACCATGCATACCAGCATAGAGCGTTGGACAGCAAGGTAAAGACCGTCCGTGCTGACAGCGGCAACATGGCTTGCCAACCTCTGGCGGCTGGGTCAAACAAAAACCGTGCGTACAGCCATCGGGAGAAGCCTGACACGATGTTGTCGACGGCAATCAAAAGGCCATTCGCGGATGCTTGCGCCTCGCGTGGAAACTGCGAGCTGAAGAAGGCCGAGTCGGCACCGCCATCACCAGGACACAAGGCCAAAAAACACCTTGGCACCAACAAGAAAAGAGCACTATAAGGTGCAAAATTCTGGATGATCAACATAGCTGATCCAAAACTCAAGCTCATCTGGATATACCAGTAGCTGTTGCCAGGTTGTAGCATCCATTGCACCATGAGTCCACTTGTCAGCATTCCCCAGACTTCTCGGAAGCTGCTGATGGGGACGTTGAAGAGGTCCCAGTCCCCTGGTCCCCAGCCCAAGCTCGAAATCATGAAGGAATCCTGAATCGATTCCCAGCCATTTCCCAGTTGCCCTAAGAGCATCTGGGCCAAGCGGATTTGCAAAAACCTGGAGCTCCACAAGAGCTGGTATGGCGCCTGCAGCTCTTTCCTTGCCAGTGACTCAAATGGGAAATAAATTGGAATAAACATGAATAAACTGAGGGAGTCCAGAATGAGAAAGATTCCCAGTTCCACATCGACACCGCCTATAGGATAAATTCAGTCAGCTTGTTTGGGGATTGCTGAAGGAAAGCAACAAGTCCAAACAAAAACAGGATTGCGGTTGGTTGTGCGAGGTTCAGAAAATGCCGCAAGCCACCAAAGCCAGCCAAGGCCTTGGCCTGTGGGGTAGAATCGCCATTGCCACATCCATTGAAGGTCTCCTCTAAGGCAAAGTGGCAAAAGGCCAAGATGAAGAGACCCAGAATCCCAGCGGCCATACAAAGAAGGTCAAAGCGCATGAACTGGATCTTTTGGATCCAAATCACGAAGCATAAGCTGATCCCTCGGCTGAAGACATCACAGTGGTTCAACACGACAAAGCCCTTGGCACGGGAAGGTCCATCGAGTACATCGGCGATCATCGACTTGAAGCAAAGGTTGAAGGCCGTGGTGCTGCCCTGAAGCCCAAGTGCCAGGCTTAAGATCACCATGGGTGGAATGCTGTTTAAATCGCACGCCAACATCATCAGCCAGGAGGCCACAGTAATTCCGGAGATGCTCAACATGAGCACGGGCTTGCGACCATGGTAGTCGCAAAGCGCACCAAGAATGGGACCCGAGAGCATGCGACATAGGAGTTTCAATCCGACCAGCCAGGCCTCTTGTTGGAGGGAAATGGAGATCACCAAGTTTCTATCCCCACAATGGAGTGAGCCTGAATAAACCTCTTCACTGACAGGAGTGTCGCAAACCACCAGACTTCGAAGCAGCGGCAAGTAGAGCTTGATGCTCGAGACATTGATGAAGCCTAGCGGAATGTAAATGGCAAAAGCTGTCCAAAGGGTGAGCGGTAAAACGTAGAGCTCCTTCAGCCCATCAATCCCGCTCACAACCTTGGCACTGAGGCCAGAAAGCATGGCCTCCGGCTCTGCAGGAGGCTTGACACATGGCTAGTTAGCCATTTCTATCATTTCATTTTGTCTTGAGACGATGTAGCAGCACGTGACGCATTGCAAACGAATCTGTGGCAGACCGAGAGCACATCGCGTTTTGGTTGGATGAACTGGGAGATCTCCCCGCGAGATGTCCAAGTCAACAATGACTTCCCAACCATCCCCTTGCACAACAACTTGTTCAGCCCCACAATTGAACTAGCAGCTGAGTCCCCTTGAACATATTTAAAAAGGTCTATTCCATTACCAGTAACAGTGGATGATGGTTCAGTTGCCAATCTGTCTCTAAAAATGTAAGATATTTGTTTACCGACTGTTAGCCAGGTACCGCAATGCGACAGGACCATACAGGACCCAATAATCTCGAATACCGCCGAAGGACTCCTTGCGGGTCTTGTTGGCCGTGTATTGACCCGAAGGGAGCGACTCAGGCTCCAACGCAAGAAGCAGCTGTCAAAGGACTCCTCAGCTTCACCTCACGCAGGGAACACACGCATGAGCACCATGACTCATGTCAAACATTTTCAAAACATACTAATCTTCCCAATCACGATGCCTGTCCATCCTCGCAAAATCAAAACAAGACCAATGAAAGATCCACCACCAAGACCAATCTAGTAAAGAACCATCCAAGACCAATCTCAGGCCCCTCCTGAACGCCTTTGATCAGCCACCCAACCCCATGCATGTCGTCCTCCTTCCACCCATCTTCTCCACCGAAAAAACCAGCCTATGTTACTATCCCATCCTCCTCGCACCTCCTCCCATCCCATCGTCCCCGAGCTCACCGAGCTCGATCTCCGAACTCCGCGAGCTCGATCTCCCTATACCGGTCCCTACCCGGAGGTTTGTTCTCAAAGCGCTCCCTCAAGGCGATCTGCAGCGCCGCGTTGTACGAGGACCTCGGCCCGCGGCGCGAGGCGCGGCGTTCCGCGGCAACACGACCTCTCCGGCTCTTCCACTCTGGGCCGTCGGACTGCATGAAGCGCGAGATGGCCTTGGGGGGGGGGACGGCCAGGGGCGAGGTGAAAGCGCCATGGAGAGGCGTTGGTTTGTGAAAATATGTGAGGATGATGTGGGGTCTGACAGTGCGAGGACAAACGTGCTCGTCCACCTGGACCGGCGACAGCCCAAATAGATCGAATCAGTGGATCCATCACTGAACGTGTTGCACAGCACTTTGCGATGGCATGCGATGGCTATAGAACTACACTCCAAAGAAACAGGTTGCAACCCACCTACCAGGACCATCCCATCTATCTCGGACTACCTGACTGGACCTACGACATATTATAGAGATTGCCAGGAGACTCATTGCATGGTCCAAGTCGGACCCCAAGTGATGAACATCTTCTCTGGTCCTTCACCATCTCCAACCACTCTCTCCGCTCCCACACCCCTGTTCAGAACGCCCGCCGCACGCGCCGTTCACCACGCAGGCACGCACGCGCCGTTCCCACGCAGAACGCGTTCGACCGGCACCTCATCCAGGTCGGCGATGCGCAGCTGGGTCAAATCCCTCGGTGGAATCCGTGGTGCCAGCGTGCGGTAGAGCCTCGGTGCGGTGTTTCGCTGGAGCTGTCGGCGTCGCACCGAGTCTCGTCCACAGGGCCCCGACTGAGGAGGGTGAAGGTCTTGGAGGTCGATTTAGTCAGGTCTGAAGGATCTGGTGGCTTAAGTGTTCTGAGGATCGATGTCAGTCCCACAGATTCTCCACAAAGGAATCCCAGTGGTGTGTAGCGGGGATTTGACCGAAAGCAAAGCTCTTTGAAAGGTTCCGTCCACCAGGCAGTCATGTCGTAAATGAATCTTGTCCACAAGAGCTCTCTTGAGATGTTGAAACCATGAACCCGGACTTTCCCACATAGAACAGTCAGCTCCCCCCATGCACAAACATGTCACGGCATGTCACATATGGCACATTGGCAGAGATGGGCCACACACAATCCTCATACTACTCATTGACTGAGCTTGAAGGAACTGAAGCAACCCCCATTCACCCATGTTCATCCCATGTTCACCCCAAGATGGGTGCCTCAAGGAGCCGAAATGGGAACAAGGCCATGCACATGTTGTGCCATTGGTGCCTGTCTTTTTTCTTGATCCTCAGCAAAGCCCGGGGGTGCCACACCCTGCCACAACCGCACATCCTAAGGCCATCTTGGACCATCTTCAAACCGTCCCAGTCACCACTGGGCGCCCTCATTTCTTCAGGGAGATGTGGATGGCGCGGATGGGAAAACCCCATGTTCCATGATGTGCACCGAGTCGCCGCAAGAAGTCAGCAGCTTGCTGAAAGACCTCGGGGATCAGTCTGGGGTCTGGGATTGGGTGTTTTGGGTTTTCACTTGGAAGTTCTTGACCAATCAGATCGCACCAGGATACGCCTGGGATTGGGTGTCCTGGCTGGACTACCCTACACCACTTCAGGATCTCCATATTGGACACCCAAACAGGATGGTACAAAAGATATAAAAAGGTATCAGCAAGAGTAGTTAATCTGAGACCGTGACCATGTCTCCTATTCTCCGATTCTGTGAGGGCAACAGCCGCCGCAAGAAGGTCCAAGTCCTGCTGTCCTTTTAAATTATCAATTGGAGTTCAATACTATTATTCTATTGTTTAAGATATGCCTTGACACATAGTCAGGCAAAATGCTGGCAGGAATTAGCTAGCAGTTAGCGCCAGCGTACGTTAGTGACCCATGATGGACATGTTCTGCATCCTGCTCCCCCATCCAATCAGCAGGACACACTTGGCGCCCGTGCCCAATTCTCCATGTGAACACCGCCAAGCCAATTCTTCAAGACGTGCACGGTCTGTCCATACGAGAGCTTGACGGTCGCACATGGCGATCGGGTGGGATCTTGGCAATCGGCCAAGCGGCAACACTTGAGACCACGCCGCGAGACCAATGAACTCCCTGGCCCCAGGGCGAGTCCAACGCCGCGGTATGTGCTGGTGTTGGAGAAGGCCCTCCCCTGATGAGTGGGGCTGTGGGAATTGTGTCCCAGCTGGGCTACGCTGATCCTAACGAAAGTATCGACAAATTGCTTCTCCAAGTGAAAGAACAATGCAAACCCTTGGGTCTTGGAGCAGGTGCATGTTTCATCTCGCTGAAGCAAGTGTTTCTAAACATATTTTGGCCCAGGCCAGAATAACATGGAAACACTCCTCTGTTCGACCATAAGTTCGATATTGTTGTGGTCTTGTGCATCTTAAGCTGTTCACTGCGGAATATATGTCCGGCATCTGGCATTGCATTGTGGTGAAGCAACTAATCATAAGAATTCACACAACCCGCGGTCACGTCATGGAACTGTACACGATAAAAGCAGGGGTGTCAGACATCAACTTCATGTGCAGTTCATTTCTGTCACGGTCCAAGTACTCACAGTTTCAGGATGTGTATAGGTACACATATATAGCTCCAAGGATGGGAAGCCTCAAGCATGACCGGCACTGTCCAACATCGATCAGGTTGACCGGTGAGCTTTGGATGAACAAGGACTGGTGATCTGGTGGGCAAGGACTCCAAGGAAAAGGAAAGAGACTGCCACCCCCATCAATTCACAACCAAACTGAGGCGAACGGTTCCCCGACGCGAGCTAGAAGCTGCTCAGCTCGTGCTGCAAACAACGTCCCACATACCCGTCGACGGGATCGCTGCCGGATGTTCCGGAAGAGAAGGTCCTCTATCACTTCATGGGACCAAAGAACACGCAGTATTGCCCGCATTGACACCTGAAACCACCCCACCTTAATATTGTAATATGCCGGTGGGTATATCCTCTTCTCTTGGCCCAGTGGATGATGATGCTTCAGCTGCAGGGCCTTGCTCTAAAACAGTGATATCTTCTTGTGAAACCGTAACCCGACGGCTCGTTCCAGGTTTTCGAGGACGGACCCTCAGTATACCTAGTATACCACATGAATTTATCCTCTGACTCCCCTAACATGGAAGGGGAAAACCCCCCTGCTTGTAGAGGACAATGATCTTCCTGTCGGACACCCCCACCCCTCCTTAAGGGTCCCACATCTGCCACGTCCCATGTCCCGGCGGCTTGTTTGGGTCTTGTTCCCCGCCGAGTGCAACGCGATGCTGGCGGCAAAGCCTGGGCTGGCCTGGCACCGTTCGCGTCTCTGTGGCACCAGAGCGGCGAAAGACGGACTGGACCAAATGGTTAAGCCTTGTTCCACCTGTTCTGATTCCAGTTCAGTGGGGAAAGCTTGCATGCCCCACCCCAAAAAGGTTATCCACTATAGGTGGATCGGTTTATCCACTGACTGAGTAGGAAGACCGAGGCTATTCCAGCACCACCCAGTTTAGGTGTTTCTCCTTGAAAAAATAGACTCCCCTGACTGACCATGGTGTGTTCCATCCTATCTCCATCTGAACTGGGTGGTACTGGTTTGTCATTGATCGTCATAGTAATGACCAGCTACATCTGAGGAAATTCCGGGGAATCGTCCAGTATACTACAAGTAGGCATATATAATTTATATAACTATTCCAGTCCAACGGGCGATGCTCCACAAACAGAGGCTGCTCCACAAACATGAAGAGCAGCCCATGTGCTGAGGTGGAGCCGAGGTGTGCTGTCGGGTGCCGAGGTGCTGAATCATGTGCTGTCGGCCGTGCTGAATCTGCTGTGAGGCACTGGAACAAGAAAGGAAACTGCAGCTGAACAAGAACCATGGCGACGAGCAATTGTACATGTCGATCGACATCGTCGACACATGAAACATGATGAAACATGTATCAAACATGTTATGCTGAAATCCAATGGGGATTACAATTACAACACTGTAAAAACATAACTAACAAACACAGCGCTCAAACGCCGCACCTCTGCAATGGGCGTCCAAGCGTGTTCAATCCTCAAGGGAGTCCCCGATCAAACCGAAGCAAATCATTGGAGACACCCCCCACTGCTAGACCCTCGTCCTTTGTAGCTGGCTGGATCAGCCGGGTGTCACCTCCCAAAAAGGTAGATTACACTTGGGAATTGGCTAGATTGGACCTTTTTACCTGTGTTGTTTTGTCATTCTACACTACTCAAGCAGCCGTTTTATCTTGCAACCGCTTGACCTTTGTCCCCAAGTCCCGTGAGAGTCATTGGAGAATCCCATGTGCAGCCCAGGAGCAGCAAATACCTTTGGCGGCGATGCTCCGTCGGAAAGTGCCGAACCCATCTGATCCATTTTTGAACAATAATGACAATGACTTGAATGGTTGACACTCCCGAGTTTTGTCAAGCGTCAAGACATTTTATAGCAGTCAATTGA